GTTTTTTTGGTACCAGGAATTGAATGTGGGGCCTTGTGTTTGTGAGGCAGGCGCCGGAACTACTGACCTAAATCCCAGGCCCTATATATATATATTTTTTTTTTTTGAGTCAGGGTCTTATTATGTAGTTCAGACTGGCCTTGCATTCATGGTGATCCTCCTGCCTCAGCCTCCCAAGAGCTGGAATTACAGGCCTGCACCACCACACCCAGATCTTATATTACTTTTAAAATATCAAAATAAAGGTCTTGTTTTTGTTTTTATTTTAAGAGCTAAGATTACTTAAGAACAAAGAATGAAAATATGGGTAAGAGGGGCTCTGGGGAAAGACAGTATCTTCATTTTTGTTGAGAAATATATAGGCTTTTTAGTAATTTTTAAACAAAGCAAAAGAACATTTCTTTTTGAATCTTCTTTTATGCTTAACATACCACCCTTGTCAGCAGCATGGACTCATTATGTAATTCATTCTTTCTACAAATATGTATGGAGTGTCCACTCTGTGAGGTAATACAGTGTCCCTTGAGCAAAACCCAAGGCACTTTCTTGAAACTTAAATCCCTAGCCAAACTCTTAACCATAGAGATTTAGATAATAAATATTTGAAAAACGAGCCCCTCCAATCATACTTAGGCAGGGCTGTTTTGATGGTGATAAAAGAAGCCTCCTTTTGAGAAGGAGACTTGAATCCCTTCATTTGCCAGTGCAATAATTTTAGGTTATCTTTGCTTAAAATAATCTTAACTATTATTTCTATTTTTTTGTAGTGCTGGGGATTGAATTGAGGGCTTGGCATATATTAGGTAAATGCTCAGCCACTGAGTTCTGCTTTTCTTTTCTTTCTTTTTTCTTTTCTTTTCTTTTTTTCTTAATAGCAAAGACCATTTTGCCCATAATGTATTAACTTTTTAGTGCACCACTAGGTGGCAGTGATTTGCAACCTGTGGTTCCACAGATTAAGACATTAAAATATACTTTTTTTTTTTTGAAACAGGGTCCCAAGCTGGCCTTGAACTCACAGTTATACTCCTGCCTCAGGCTTCCATGTGCTAGGACTACAGTCATGGCCACCATGCTGGGCCACCTTTATTTTTAGATAATAAAAAAATAAACCTCCTACTTATGCAAGGGTCACATGGGCTTTGTCTCTTGCTACCCTTTGAACTAAAAAATCTACATTGATGATGTCCATAAAATAAAGTTAAAATAGCATGTTGTAGAATAATATTTGTACCTCCTCTCTTTGTCCCATGCTGCCTCTCTCCCTTTCTTTCCTCCTTCTACAAAGGCTTATTGAGCACTTAGCATGTGCCACCATGTGGTAAGTTACTAAAAATTGTGTGGCGAGCAAAGTGACACCAATGTAGCTCCATGGATCTGATGATAGTCCTTTACTGATGAACAGATAAGTTGGTTCCACTTTCTCCTTATAAGAAACAATACTACAAAGAACATCTTACATGTGTGCTTGAGTTTCTTGAGGGCAGTGGTTCTCAAAGTGTGGTCTCAGCCATGAGACTCAAACTGTTTTCATAATGATACTAAAATGTTTGTTATTTGGCCTTCTTCATGCTCACTTTCTTGTGAACATATAATGGTGCTTTCCTCTACACAAGTGATATTGTAACAAATTGACTGTAAAAACAGGTGTAAGAATCCAAATATTTATATTAAGCCACATATGAAAGAAATTTGCAGAAAAATAACATACTTAATGGACATTCTTCACCATAATTTTTTTGTTTGGGAAAATACAGTTATTCTAATAAAAATGACTTATATTAACATGTAATGAGTTTATTGTTATTTTAAATGAATTAAATGCTTTTAAACTTTCTTAGTTTTAATGTTTATTAAGGTAGTTATCAATAGATATCTTCTGCATAAACAAAATTTCTTTGATGTGCTCAATCTTTTTTTTTTCATATCAGTCAGGTAATGAGCTGATAGCAAAACAAGATTTGAGCAAGGCACATTTCATAGAATGACATGAAAGCCCAATTATGCTTATGAACCACAAGAGGGTCTTTTTGGTCATTTTAAGAGTTTAATGGAGATCTGGTACCAAATGATTTGAGACCCACTCTTCTAGGGTGTATCTCTCTCTCTCTTCTTTTTTTTTGGTACTGGGGATCAAACTCGGGACCTTGTGTTTTCAAGGCAGGCGGCGGAACCACTATGCTAAATCCCCAGCCCTTAGGGTGTATATCTCAAAGTGGAGTTGCTGGCTCTTAGGGCAGCCACAAATTCAGCTTTATTAAATGTGCTAAATTGCTCTCCAAGGTGTCTAATGCTAACCTTTAAACATTTTTAAATATCTTAGTGGTTTTTTCTTAAATCTCAAGCTGTGAAGAATTATAGGATTATTATTAAGCCAGGCTAGTAATATAACAGTGATTTTGTCTGTGGCAATATTGACTGAATATCTTCCTTAATCAACAGAAATGCAAGGTGAGTTTTTAAAGCTATGGTGCTGAGGATTGAACCCAGGGCCTTGTGCATGCTAAACACTCACTTTACCAGTGAACTACACCCCACCCCAGTATTTATTTTTAATGTACTCAGAAGGTTTTTTTGCTTACTGAGAATAGCTTTGTAGAGTATCAAGATGAAATGTATCGGAAAATTTATTTTTGTTTGGTGGCTCATGGGAGGTAGAAGTATACTAGTTATGCAAATAAGCTCTTTTAAAAAACACATTAGGGGAATTTCATTGGTTTTTTTAAAGAAAATACCTGCTGTATTTTTTGTTAAAAGTATGTTCTACTAGCACCTGATTTGGAAAAAAATATACTGAGGCATCTAATTTTTTAAAAAAATTTAAAGTCTGTTTGTAGATAGATCACTTCATAGTGAGAATGTATTGTAAGCAATTTAGGGTTTTTTAAAAAAATTGTAGAATACTTACTTGTTTTAAGTGTAGCTGATTTAAAACTTTAATGATGTTAAATTTTGGCAATGAAATATGTGATAAATGTGAAAGACTGAATTTTTCATTTGAAGGGCCAAGGTGCAGCAATATTAATAGGCTGTTTCTTACAATGGTTTTGCACATAGTGATTTGTTCACTATGCTCTAGTAAAATGAAAAGTGACCTCAGTGGGTTTTTACCTATTTATGGTGGATGGCTTTTGGCAACCAAGTGTGAATTTAAGTGAAATTTTAATCTGCCCCTTAGCCAAGGCAGAACACACACATATGTACCCAGGAAGAGCAGATGGGATAGATTATAAATGAATCTCACCCCAGCCCAGGAGACATGTCTACAGCAGTAGTAATATTGTTGATACAATATATAGTACATCACAAGTGCAAGTAAAAATTGTTTTGTTTCTGTTCTTAGGAGATTATCCAGCCAATGGGGCTAAACAAGGGAACTGACCTCAGTAGGAGAGATGATCACTGTGCGTTCATTTATACTAATAGCCAGACTGCTGCCAGGTATTTGGTTCTACAGTTGCTGGTCCAGGTATGAATGTGTTTGAACGTGGAATTCTATATGGAAGGTTCTTTGAAGGAAAGATAAACAAAAATTGCTGACCTATGCCTTTTGGATTACTGACTTTATTTGAATTGTTTCAGGGAGTCAAGAACTTCAAAACTTTCTCATTCAGCTATATGTTGAGTATCCCTTACCTGAATACTTGGGACTAGAGGTGTTTTGGATTTGGGAGTTTTTCGGATTTTGGAATATTTACATACACATAATAAAATATCTTGGGGATGTGAACCAAGTCTAAACATGAACTTCATTTGTCTTTAATTTAAACCTTATACACATAGATATGAAGGTAATTTTATGCAATATTTTTAGTTCATCTGTTTTGACTGTGACCCATTCAGACAGATGGTCTGAGGGAGAGAGACTGAGGGAGGATCAATTATTCATGCACTCATCAGACAACCTTTTTTTTTTTTTTTTTTTTTGGTACCAGGGATCGAACTTGGGACCTTGTGCTTCTGAGGCAGGCAGTGGAACCACTGAGCTAAATCCCCAGCCCTGGACAACTTTTTTTTAAACATTTGTTCTGCACACTCACCTGATCTCAAGTAAGTAGGGTTAACATATATGTTATCAAAGTAGAATACTTTTGAAGTGAAAAGGATGTTATTAATAATGATACTGAGATATCAAACAAAAGCTGCAACTATCTGAAGCAAAGCTGAATGCAAAGTTACCCTATGACTAATACATAATCCTAACTCAAGAAGCCCAGTATCAAATGGGATTGAGAGCATGTGATCACAAGATGCTGATAATTATGCATTATAGCTGCAAGAGAAATGCTGGGAAGGGGTGAACCTGAGCCAGTGAGGAAAGATCTCTCAAGAAAATAATGGTCCATCTGGGTGCTGAGGGGGAGAGTTGTAGTTTATTGGTGAAGGAGGAGGGAAAAGATGTTCCCAGTAGAAGTAAGAGAATACACAGGACCTGAGCACTGATTTGATGCCTTGGGGAAGCTACAGGTAGTTTCCCACAGTCAGGGTTTGGTGGGAGGAAAAAAGGTGTTAAAACCAGGCCAGAGGTCCCAGGTTAGCAGGCTTCGCATGGTATACTAGGGAGTTTATATTTTATCCTGGTAGGTACAAGGGTCCACTGGAGGATTTTAAGAAGGACCATGAAAAAAAAGAAAAAAAAGGACCATGATCTAGTCAAGTGTATGTTTTAGAAAGTTTTCTTCTGACAGAAGTGAGAAATGGATTGGAGAAGAGACTAATAAAGAGTCTTTTGTATTCAGTCAGATGAAAGATGGCAAGATCGAGATTAGGTAGTGATGGTGGGCATGGGACTTAGGGGTAGAACTGAAAGCATTTAAGGAAATTGGTCATGCTGCTAAAACATCCAGAAGTTATGCCTATAGCAAGAAGGGCTGGATAGCATTCAAATAAAACCATTAGGATCTGGACTGTCTTCTTAGCTCAGTGTTTCCTATAATAGATTTTAACTTGAGAATTTATATCTACTTTACTCCAAATTCAGTGGGAAAGAATGCCTGACCTGTTTCCAAAGCATCAATTGACCAATTAGTATGGCCAAGGGAACTAGAGTCTCCGATAGGCCAGTCTAGGATCATATACTCTACGTCTGAATTGGGAATGAGACATTACACAAATTACACAGATTGAAAAAACAGAAAGCAGATTCAACAAGAGAAGCCGGAATTTTGGAATACACTAGGGAGGTGAAGAACAATTATCTACCATGAAGGCAGAGCTGGGATGACCTCCAGTACACTGTTCTGGCCTCTATCCCTTGGAAGTTCTGGAGAGATCCATAGAACAAGGTTAGGAAAGGTAATCCCTTAGCCAGGAGGAGTCTTACCCTCTTTCCCTCAGTTTCTGAAGAGGAAAAAGGAAGAATCCCCATGTTCATATGAGGAGAGGGGGAACTAACTTGACTGAGTTGCACTTAAGATATTTGCTACAAATATGCACAGAGCTATTTTGCCTTGAAGGGGAAAACAGGCTCCAGCCCCTGCCAATGACCCATGTGCAATTGCTCTTCCATTTTCTCTTCCCAGGAAATAGGTTAGCAAGTGGGAGGACCTGGTCCTCCAAGAGGCGCCTGCATTTAGGGTAATATCAGGGAGGCCCATTTTTACCTTAGGCCTAAAAATGCAGGTTCTAGGCCCATCTTATCTTTGAATGTGTTTCAAAGCAAGTTGCAAATATTAGTACATTTCCTCCTAAATACTTCAGTGTTCATATCATTAACCAGATTTCAGTATTTGTTTCTACTTTTTTCTTTTGAAGTAAAATTTACTTAGATTGAAATGCAGAACTCCACTTGTCAGAAAAAGGTCTGGATGGGTTGGACCTCTGTGGGGATACTATCTTTGAGTCCTAGAAATGTCTGGGCATCTAATGAGTTGAGTTCTCTTTTGGAGAAAATATGTATTTATGACTCAGTGAATGAAAATGAAAACCTGAGACGAGACTGGATTTTCCCACTGAAAATAGAAATCAAAAGTAGGAAAACATCTTAATTATTGCACAGATATGTGTGAGTTCTCTGCAAAAAATGTTTAAATAAACTTCAGTGAAATGACTTCAGTGATTGGTGCATCAGGCTGGTTCCCTTTATTTGGACAAAATAGCTATATGTTTCGATGAATGCAACAATCAGCCTCTAGTTTATTATACTGACAAGACCATAATTAATGGTGCTTCAGAATTTTCAGATTTTCTGCGATTACACTGTGACTTTCAAGGAATTTGGGAAATTGGTCTTTACTGCCAAGCTGAGATACATTTACTTTCTTGGGTTTTAGGAATTCTCCAAGTCCCTGCTGCTCATGCTCCTGTTGATCCAGAATCACTACCATCATTAGCAAATCATTTTATGAAAAAAATGTAATCTAAAATACATTCTTGTTGGAATACAGCAAATTAATGTAACTCTAGGTGTTAAAATTGTTTTTTTTGGTGTGTGTTACATTTATCTTTTAATTTTAAAGAATTCCCTCTTCCCAGGCTTTTTTTTTTTGTACCAGGGATCAAACTCAGGACCTTGCACTTGCAAGGCAGGTGGCAGAACCACTGAGCTAAATCCCCAGCCCATGATGTCTGTGCGTTTTCCTGAATTTTCTTTCTGTTTCCAGAGTATTTCCTATACAGGGAAAATTTTATAATATTTGATACTTTTACTCTTGTATATTTATGACACAATGAATGGTCAGTAGTATTAAAGAATTATAATTAACATATTTTGAAAAAGAGATTAGAACTTCAACTAGATCTTTCTGAAAAACTACATTTATTATTATTATTATTATTAATTTATTTTTAAGTGACTGCCAACTAAAGATGTAGCAAACTAATCACTGGGGGCAATAATTAGTTTATTTATTTATTTATTTTTTTGGTACCGGGGATCAAACTCAGGTCCTTGTGCTTGCGCAGCAGGCAGCGAAACCAATGAGCTAAATCCCCGGCCCAGTTTAGTATTTTATATTCAACAAAGGACAGCCCGTGTTTCATTATTTTTTTATTTCTCAATTTAAAATTTTTTTAACAAAAAAGGAAGAACATTATAGAAGATATGTTCAGCTTATCCTGTTTTTACAGATTTCCTATATGAACCAATGGGTATTTGGGAGTAACCTAAATGCATTGGATATGATACACACATATGAAGTATCAAGAGCTTGAAATAGATGGAAGGCTTCCTAGAGAAACATGGGTATTAGGATAAGGTGTTAATGTAGTTAATAAATGTTTTTGAAATTAAAAAAAAGAAATGCAGAACTCTTACACATGTATACACTGAGTTTTGACAAATGCATACAGCAGTGTAACTCACATCTGGAAGACTTATTATCTGAGAGTGACCATGGAAGTCAATAACACTTGCCTGAGATTTTATCTAAGACAGTAGGAAAGAGTAGTTCATTAGAGTGAGTTTCAAAAAACAGCAGAGGGGTGCCAGGGATTTGGCTCAGTGGTTCTGCCACCTGCCTTGCAAGCGCAAGGACCTGAGTTCAATCTCCGGTACCAAAAACAAACAAACAAATAAACAAACAACAACAACAAAAAACCAGCAGAGGAGAGGGACTGGAAAGGAGAGGGAAGGATAAAAGGGTCTACATGCCACCATCCCTGCCTATTCAATGTTATGATTACTTTGTACAGTGAATCCCTGTACAGAGAGGAAGTACTCATCCAGTATTAGCTCCTGATATTATTGCTATAGCTATTACTTTTAGTATCTTCAGCTGATTGGCAATCCTTTATCTATTTTTATCAGTCAGGACTCTGTAAGAGAAAAAGGGTGAATGGTAGAATCTAGGCACCACACGTAAGCTGAATGCTCTAACATTTCTGAAACTGAAACTTTAACTGAAAAAAGAGAAAATAATGCAGAGTGTATTCATGAAAGTGAACCAACCCAGGGAGATGGCAGGTTGCCTATCCAGTAGCTCTTCTCTCCTTCTTTGATGCCAAAACCTACTTCCATCCAGAAAGGTAGAAATTGTCCAGTTTTCATTTTCCCATCTGTCTTATAGCTGTGTATTATCTGAATGTTTATATTCCCAGAATTCATATATTGAAGGCTTTTCCTCAAGGTGATGGTAACAAGGAGGTGGAGCTTTTGAGAGAAAATTAAATCATGAAAGTTATACCCCATGAATCAAATTAATGCCCTTTGAAAGAGGCTCCAGAAAGCTGCTTTCCCCTTCCACCATGTGAAGACACAGCAAGGAGGTGCTTTCTTTCAAGCAGATAGAAGGCCTTTAGCAAACACTGAATCTGCTGGTACCTTGATCATGGATTCCCCAGCCTCCAGAATCGTAAACAATAGATTTCTGTTTATAAGTTAACCAGTGCTATAGTCTGGATCTTGACCATCCCCCAACGATCTATGTGTTAAAGGCTTAGTCTCCAGAGTAGTGCTATAGAGAGGGGTAGACCCTTTAAGAGACAGAACTTGATGCGGTGTGTGTGTGTGTGTGTGTGTGTGTGTTCTTAAGTCTTTGAGTCACTTAGAAACTGGTGGGACTCTGGCTCCTTCCACTTTTCCTTTGTTTCCTGGCCATGAAATGAGTGGTTTTGCAATGCCACACCCTCCTGATATGATGTACTGCATCATCACAGGTCCAAAGCAATAGGACCAAACTGATCATAGGCAGAAACATCCAAAACTGTGAGCCAAAATGAGCCTTTTCCCTTTATAAGTTGATGACCTCAGGTATTTTATTATAGTGACAGAGAGCTGAGTAACACACCCAGCCTAAGGTAGTTTGTTACAGCAGCCCAAATGGGCTGAGGCAGAAATTGGTACCAAGAAGTGGTGGTGTTACTTTTAACAAGTACCTGAAGATGTGGAAGTGGCTTTGGAACTGGGTGATGAGTAGCAGCTGGAAGAGTTTGGAAATACATACTGCAGAAGCCTATATTTCTGAAAATAGACCATGAAGGGTGATTCTGGTAAGGGCTCAAAGGAACAAGGGAGCTACAGAGCAAGCCTCAAACATCTTGGACATTATCTAAGATGTCATGAACAGGATGTCAGTAGACCTATGGACAGAAAGGCCATTCTGATGAGGTACCAGAAGGACAAGGAACATGTTATTGGAAATAAGAGAAGGGGGGTCATTGCTACTGAGTGGAAAAGAATTTGGCTGAATTGAGTTTGTGTCATAGCATTTTATGAAAGGATGAACTTAATGATGAATAGGATATCTGGTGGAAGAAATATCTAAGCAAAGTGTCAAGGTTAAGATATGGTATCTTAGTTACTTTCTTGTCACTGGGACACAATACCCAACACTCACAACTTAAAAGAGTAATTTATTTTGGCTCATGTTTCAGTCCATAGTCAGCTGGCTCCAAAGTAGGATGGCATGGCAGAGGGACACAGCAAAGGAAAAGCTTCTCACAGGAAGCTGAGAGCAAAGGGAGGAGTCAGAGAAGGAGATATACCTTGCCGGGCCAAGCTACCAATGACCTGTTTCTCCCAACCGTGCCCCACCTCCTGATGGCACATTTAGCTATAAGCTCATTGGTGAACTAATCCACTGATGAACACAACACCCCCAAGATCCAATCACCTCTCCAAACCCCTACCTATGAGCACATCAGGCTTTGGGAGGACATCTATATATAAACCATAACACATGGCTTCTTTTGACTACTTGTAAGAAGAGATAAATGAATCAGATATGGAATTTATAATAAAAACAGGAAGAAGAACTTGAAAATTTGGAAAATCCTCAGCCTAGCCATATTGTAAAGAATGAAAAAGTGGGCCAGGGATTTAGCTCAGTGGTTCCTCCACCTGCCTTGCAAGCACAAGGACCCGAGTTCGATCCCTGGTACCAAGAAAACAAAAAAAAGAATGAAAAAGTATGTTTAACAGAAAGCACTAAAAGTGTGACCAAGTGAACATTTAATAAAGAGATTAGTGGATATGTGGGAGCTACATACTACTCAACATGGAAGAAGGACCCTGAATACATTTCAGAAATCTTTGGGGCTGCCCTGACCATCACAGGCTTTGGGGGCAAGGCCCTGCTCCTTGAATTCTGGTACGGCACTCCTTGGGCACTTCCGCGATGGTTCAGTTGGTCCTAAATGTACCTCAGGTTGCCCTTCTAGAAGATACAGATAGTAAAACATGGTGAGACCTGCACACTGCCATCTCCAAAGATGTGCAAAGTGCATAGGCTGTAGGAGTATGGCTACCTACACCTCAGTTTCAAAGGATGCCTCAGACAGACTCCAGGTCCACGCAGACAACTGCCTCAGGGTAAGAGCCCCCACAGAGAGCCCTTACCAGGGCAATGCCCACCACCACCATTGGGACAGGGCCACCTCTATGACTCCAGAATGCTACAGCCACCATTGAGAAATTCCAGCCTAGGAGATCTGCAGACTTAAGACTCCAACCTGTAAGAGATGCAGCATGGAATGCACCCAGGAAAGGCAGTGTTTCTAGAGCCCTGAGGGCCTGAACTCCACCCAAGCAGGTCTGGAAGGCAGGACATCAAGTCAAAGATTACTCCTTAGCCTAAGATTTAACATTTTTGTCCTGTTGAGTTTTGGATTACTTGGAACCTATCATTCCTCCCTCCCTCTCTTTTTCCCTCCTTCCTGGCCGCCTAAAATACTCTAATCCATATACCCAATTTATAAAATTTATTACTGGTAATAACCAGTGCATTTCCTGAAAACAATCTTGTTTGCTTTTCAAAGAAGATCAAACTGTAACTATTATAAAGAAAACTGAAAGTGAAACACATTGGTGCATACCTGTAATCTCAGCTACTCAGGGAGACTGAGGCAGAAGGACTGCAAGTTTGGGGCCAGCCACGGTAACTTGGCAAGACCCTGTCTTAAAATAAAAAGGGCTTGGACTGTAATTCAGTGGTAGAGTGCTTATCTAGCATGTGTGAGGCCCTGGATATGATGCGTGCACGCACACCTACACACACACACACCAAAACCTCAGAGTCCTCTGATTGGTGGCAACAGTTTTCAAAACTGTTAAAGTGGCAAAATAGGAGTTATTTCAAAGTAATGATTTTTAGTATCTATAGGTTTTCAGAATCATCACTGTTATTTTCAGGCTCAATATAACTTAGGAAGGAAATTGTTTTATTTTTAGCTTTTTTGGGAGAAAGGGTCTCACTGTGCAGTTCAGGCTGGCCTCTAAATCCTGGTGATCCTCCTGCCTCAGCCTCTAGAGTGCTGGGATTAGAGGTGTGGGCCATCATGCCTGGCTATTTTTAGCTTTTTAAAAACTAGTGTGTATATAGCTAATTGCGGGCGGTCACCTAGAGAGTTAAGATACACACAAAAGTTCTGTGAAATCTTGATATATGTAAGTCTATCATCCAATCTGGTAACAACTTACTTGGCAGAACACATAGCTTCATGATGTGTTCCCAGGGCAATGTCTTAAATTGCAAATGCCCAGAGAGAAAAACATTGGGGAATGATAGTCATAGTGGTCAAACCAGTTGGTAAATTTTTCAGTTTTTTTGTTTAATATCCAATAAATATTTATTGACTTCCTACTATGTGCCAATTTGTGCTGGATACTGGGAATATAGCAATAAGCCAGACAAGTTCTGCCTCAAAGAAGCTCCCAGATTAGAAAAGAGGATAAAAAATAACTAAGCAATTGAAATGCAAAGGGAAAAACCTCTTTATAGGGTTCATGTACAGAGATCTGTGAAAGCCCAGGGGAGTTCATTTATCCAATTAAATTATTATTGAATATATTTATTGAGCATCTATAATGTGCTAGGAACAGGGAAAACAATGGAGGAAATGACACAGTCTCTAGGTTTGTGTTGCTTTCTATCAAGTGGAAGAGAAAAATAGCTGAGCAGATGGTTATAGGTGCTAATTTTATCACAGGAGGGCACCTAAGAGGGCAGCTGACCCAAATTTGGGATGGAAAGAAAAGGGTACCCAAGATGAGATGAGAAGGTGAAAAGGTAGGGAAGAATATTTTGTACATCAGGGACAGTGAGCACAGGAGCAAGAGAGGCCATTGTGAAGTTATTTCAAATGGCCAGAGCCAAAAACTTGGCAGAAAATTAGGTTGTATAGGGTGAAGGAAGAAGGAGTTGACAAATGATAACCAGTAACCAGAGCCTGACAAATCTTATAAACCATGTTAAGGAGTTTCAACTTTTTCTGAGGTTCATAGGCAAAGAGCAGATTTCATCAAGAAAATGAAGTGCTCCAAAGTTCACTTCAGAAAATCACTGGCTGCCATGTGGTAAGTGATGTGGAGGGCGAGATGCAGTAGGCAGGAGTCCAGTTAGGAGGCTGTTCATATTCTCCTGGCAATGGCTGGCAATGGCCTGACTTCAGAATGGTGAGGGAGACATGGGAGTTGATTGGGGAGCTGCTTGGGAGGCACAATCAACAGGTAGTGGGGAGCTCTGGAAATAAAGAGTGTGGGTGGGGAGTAGATAATCAGGTTCTTATGGAATATGTTGAATTTGAGGGTGCTGTGGGGTGGTCAGATGGCATAAACCAGAGGATAATTTTGTTCATTGTTGATTCATATAGTGCCACCTGCAAGCACAGGGAAAAACCTAGATAAGAACTTGATTCTCTGTAGTCCATTTAATATAAGGGCACTGGAGTTTGGGGTGTGTGTAGATGTAGAGGATTAATAAGAATAAAAAGCATTCCCCACCCTTACAAATTCACCAACTGACAAGTGGTGACTTGTGCACAAGAATGCTCAGCTGTAACTGCTGCTCAGCCTTTCCATATAGGGGTGGGTGGGACAAAAGAGAGTCAGACTGGTGAGGGCTTAGCTGGGGATGGGAGCTGGGAGGCTCTGCACAATGAAATACGAAGATTAACTATCATTTACAACCCCACAAACCAAGTGAACAAAAGGGGAGTGTTGAGAAATGAGTTGTTTCTCATGGGTGTCCATGAGGTCCACCCCATGGAAACTACACCAACTGAAAAATCACAAGGGCTGAGCATTGGTGCCTTTCCTCTGCTGCAATCATCTGATCACTGAGACGTCTTCATCAAGGTTCAGGAAGTCCTATCTCACAAAGCTTCAAAAAATGACCACTGGCTTTCAGGAGCTGACACTTTCTGAAGGCCAACCATTCTTGATACTTCTAATATAAGTTGTGTGAACTCTCTTCAGCATGCCAAAAAGAAGAAATGCTTGTTTTAGAATTATGGTTTTGAGTATTTCCAGGGATTTCAACATCATCATAGTCATTTTCAGGATCAATGTAGCTCAAGGTGGGAACAGTTTTCTTGTTTGTAGCTTTATTCACCAAAGAGTATGTAGCTGGGATTTCCTGTGGGGCTAGAAGACACAAAAAATCCTCCTTACATTCAAAGCTTTTGTGTGATGATATACTTTTGATCAAGTGGTTTGGCTCAATTTTTATGGATTTTGAGGATTGTTTTACTTCCTGGTGGGCCAGATCCCCATTTTACAGAGGAAACTCAGACACAGACAGGCCATGGGTCTCAGGATCACCCAAGGAATTGAGTGACAAATATTGGTCAGATATCTTGACTCCCACATGTCTGCCTCATGGAAACCATGAAGCCAATGCTTGGAAAAGAAGGAGACCAGAGCCAGATGAGTACTGTTGTGTCTACAGATGCTGCTTCTTACAAGGAAGTGATACTAACTATATTTCCTTGTTGGCATATCCCTCCCAATGACTTAGGCTATTTCCCAGGACTGTCCCTAATTGCTCATGTACAAATTTCTCTGCTAAGAAGAAAAGAAATGTGGTATTTTCAAAGGTAGAATTAATGCAGAATGGGTCCATAGCCAAAGGAAGGATGTTGCTATGGTTTGAATATTATTTGAGTGTGGCCCCTAAAGGTGTTGGAGGGTCAGTCCTCAGTGTGACAGTGTTAAAAATTGGTGGGACCTTTAAGAGTAGGGGCCTAGTGGGAGATTGTTGCTGGCCACTCCCCTCACACTTAGATCCATGTGTCACCATGTGATCTCTGTGTCACATGGGCTTCTGCCATGATGCCATCTGCATAATGTGATGTAGCCTAGGAGCCTTCATGCTTCTCAGTGCCATGCTGTTGGATTTTCAGCCTCGGAAACAATGAGCTAAATAAACTTCTTTCTTTTTATAAGTTACCCAGCCTGAGGTATTTTGTTAGAATAATAAAAAAACAGACCGATACAACAATTCAGCTCCACCTATGATGGAGATGGGAATCGCCTCCCACAGGGTCAGTCTCATCTTTTTTTTTCCCAAGAGAACATGAAAGATCACTGCCCTTTCATTTCCTGTGGTTTGACAGCTCTGAGTTCACTGGCTTTGTGACCTGGTGAAGTTACTGTCCCTCAGTGTGTCCCTTGTGTGTCTCTGTCCCTCAGTGTCCTCATCTGTCAAATGAGAATACTGATGTATAGGCCTCATAGATTTGTTATGAGGATTAAATGAGATAATGCCTATTTGGGGACCTGACATACACTGTACACACAATAAATGTTAGCTAATATTATTATTGACCTTTTCAATCAAGACATTTTTATTAAGTATCTACTGAGCTCCAGGCACTGTTGTAGGTAGTGAGTAAACAGTGGTGAACAAGATAAAGAAGGCTCACAGAAAAGATAAAGAAGGCTCCTGTTTTCCTGAAATTTATATTCTAGTGGAGGAAATCAATAACAGATTAACAATAACTAATTGAGACAAGTTTAGATCACTGCTATAAGTTTCATAAAGGAAAGTAGCAGAACTATTTTAGGCGGGGGAGAGTCAAGGAGGGCCTCTCTAGGGTGGTGATAAGTAAGAGGCAAAGCCAACTATGCAGAGAGCTTAAGGAGGAACATTCCAGTCCAGGGAACCAGGGAGGTTTTCCTGACAGGAAGAGAGACAACCCAAATTCCTTTTTACTTTTGTTCCAAGCTGGAATTTGAACATGAACTTACACATTCACACCAGGATATCAGGAACATATGGCATTTATTCTGCTCTCTGCTTTTTGTTTTTGCTTTTGCAGTACTGGGGATAGAACCCAGGATCTTTCCACAGAGCTACATTTCCAACCCTTTACAATTTTTTTTTTAAATTTTGAGACAGAGTCTCTCTAAGTCACTGAGTTGCCCAGGCTGGACGCCAACTTGTGATCCTGCTCTCTCAGCCTCCCAGAGTGCTGGGATTACACGTATGAGCCACTGTGCCCATCATGTTGGCCTCTTTTAAGCGGAATGTTGCATCTACAAATCTTAATGTGATGGGCTAAAGGTTTGTGTCACTCCAAAATTTGTATATTTGCAAACAGGAAGGGAATCAAGAGATGAAGAAAGGGGGAGAGAGGAGAAAGGGGCCTTAAAAAGAATTAAGATGTGTTAGATGGATGAACCATGATAAATGTAATCCTTATGTACTGCAAACAAGTACTAATAAAATAATTTTTAAAAAACAGATAAAGACATTACAAAAAAATTCTAATGTTGAAATCTTAACTCCAGTTTGGCCATATTTTAGGGTAGGGCCCTGATATACCAGGATTACTGAGAACAGTGTCCTTGAAGAAGAGACACCAGAAAGCTAGCTTGCTTGCTTTCTTTCCCAGCTCAAATGCACTGAGGAAAGACCATGTGAGGACATTGCAAGAAGAAAACAAGCCAGGAAGAGAGCCCTTACCACAAACCAAATTGGCCAGCACCCTGATCTCAGACTTCTAGCCCCCAGAACTATAAGAAAATAGTTTTTCTATTGTTTAAGACACCCAGCCTATGATATTTTTGTTATTGTAGCCTAAGCTGGCCAAAGCACTTAGATAATTTTTGTTATCCTATCCTGAATGAAACTATTATCAGCAAAATGTACTTACCAAAATTGCCTTGAGAAAATGAGCCTCTGGGTGGCAGAGGGGGTAATGGATCTGGTGACTGAACATTCCTGGAGAGAGAGAGAGAGAGAGAGAGAGAGAGAGAGAGAGAGAGAGAGAGAGAGAGACAGTATTATTTACAAGAAAACATCAAGGAAAGTGAATGGGTTGAATATTCAAATCTTAGTCCCTACCAGTTGGAAGCATTTTCCTATCTAAATCCTGCATCAATCACATTTGTAACTGCCACCCTAAAGAAACCATTTCCTCTTGCTCAGGGAATGGCTGAAAATGAGGGCAGGAAATTGAAGCATTCTAATTCAGAGCATGGAACACACCCTCTGTGTTCACCTGAGCTGGATTAGGAGCTGTGCATCAGGTTTATTTTTCAGGTTGCAAAATAGATGTAGCCCTGAAGCGGAACATAAACACACTCAAGACAGCAATCCCCTAATGGGTCTATACCTTCCTGAAATGTTTATGTATGTTCACCAAAAGACATGTACTAAAATGTTCACAGCAGCACTATTCATAACAGCCCTGCTATACGGATGTTGGCTTCTCCCAAAGGGCTATGTATTAAAGGATTAGTCTCCAGCTTGGGAGCTATTAGAAACTTTAGGGGATGGGGCCTGGTGGGAAGTCTTCAGGTCACTGGGAGCACATCCTCCAAAGGGATCATGGACCCTGCTCTCCTGTTCTTTCCTTTTGTTTCTCTCTGGCCAGGAGGTGAGCACTTTTGCTTTGCTGTACATTCTCCACCATGATGTACTGCCTCACTACAGGCCCAAAAGCAACTGGGCCAACCCATCATGGACTAGAACTTCCGAAGCTGTGAGTCAAAATAATTCTTTTATCTTTATGAGCTGATTCTCAGGTATTTGTTACAGTAACAGAAGCTGACTAATACAAGCCCCAAGTGGCATGACTTACATTAGCCTGTGTTCTCCAGAGAAACAGAATCACATACAAGTAACCATTATACTACCTAAATGCTCATCAGCAGTACAGCAGATAAGTTAATCATGACCTACTCCCACAGTGGAATATGCTATAGCAATGAGAATGAACAATGTACAAATACACAAAATGAATCTCACAAAAATAATGGTGAGCAAAAGACGCCAAGTACTAAGTAATACACACTGTATGATACCATTCAGATAAAGCACAAAACCAAGAAAAATCTGGCTGCTACTATTCCAGATAGTGGATACTTTGGGGTGTCATGACTGAAAGGCAGTTGAAGGTGAATGATTAAGGATATTGGTAATATCTTTTGTCATGATCCTGTGCTTGCTACCTGGTTCTGCTCAGTTCATGGAAATTCACTGAGTTGTGCATTTACTATGTATGATTCTCTATATTCACATTGTACTTTAGTAAGAAGCCTTAACTGCAGTATCAGGTTTGTTCTTAATAAAGGTGATATTTTGTTTACCTAGCTACTTGATACATTTGTCTTATTTCTCCAGCACATCAAAATGGATAGGGAAGGGGTTTTATTTGCTGGACTCAAGTCTCAATAAAAGGTATTTTAGGAAAGGACAGATTTTTGTTTTTAGATAGTGCATATAATCCAAAGAAAGGACTGGCTCTTGACTGGCTCCTGGGAGATCATTGCTAAGTTCTTGGAATATGCTGCCTGATGAGAATACATACCTGGGCCCTTGAGCCATGCTATAGTTAGTGCTTGTGATATGGTTTGTGATGAATGCTTTTATTTTTTTTTTGCATGGCTTACTTTTATTTTTTATTAAAAAAACATATACAAGAGTTTAAGAAATGATGAATATAAGACAAATCAGAATCATAGTGTGAATGCCTTTTTTTGTTTGTCTGAGACCTTGGGTCATTCTGTATCCATTTTCCCCTTGGAGGGGCTAAAGACTGAATAGCTGAAGGTCAGTCACATAGACATTCTAGGGCCACAAGAGAAACCCTCAGTGAACTCTTGATTCCAAGGGCCAGGTGAGCTTCTCTGGTTGGCAGTGCTTCACATGTGTCATCACACACTGTTGCTGAGAGAATTATTGGTATCTGTGGGACCATGAGAGAGGACAACTGGAGGTTTGTGCCTGGTTTTGGCAAGACTTCACACTGTGTGCTTTTTATTCTTTGTTGATTTCAATCTGTATCCTTTGGTCATATTAAGTTGTAACCATGAATGTAATAACTTCTGGGTCCCCTGAGTTTTTCTAGTGAGTTATCAAGCCTAAGTTTAGCCTTGGGGATCCTCAACACAAGTAGCAATCATAAAGCCCTAAATATATCACAAAAAAGTAAAGCAAATGCTAATATTTTCTTTCAGCACAATAGCTTTCAGAGGACCATACTTGTAAAAAACTTGAAAGAAAAGAGACATAGACTGACGGTGGGCCCAGAATACAGAGCTTGGCCTGTGATGTCTGTCAAAAGTGATGAGAGGCATTGTCGAGAAGAGCGGTCCAGATGGTGCCCTGCACCCACAACACCCCAAGACCTCTGTCCTTAAGTAGGAAGGATTGATAGATATATTTTTCCAGCTCTACAGGAAATGTGGGCATCTCAATTACACAGGAACAGTGGTGGAAAGGTGGGGGTAGAAATGCATAGGCAGTTCTTAAAATTAAGTAGTAGAAAAATTTCCCCCACTTACTCATACATCTTTTCTTCTTCTCTTTGGTTTTGTTTCAAGGGCTTGGCAATTTCCCATTTCTTGCCTGGGAGAGAAAAAACCATATTCATTTAGGATGAGTTAGGAAAAATCATGATTGTAGAGTTTAGAAGTCCTCAGAGACCCAGTAGTCCAGGACATTTGGAATAAGAATGCCCAAAGGGAATGTACTTGGGAACACAGAGCTCACAGATGATAGAGCTGGCATCTGAACCCAGGCCATCTGACCACAGGGTGTGGGCATTAACTCACTGAGAGTAGCAACCATGTGGGTGGTGTTTCTTCATTGCCTACTACTATGCCTGGCACTTGGTTGGCCCTCAAAAATGTAGGTCATATGAATAACTAAAAGTGATTGGGGGAAAATGAGATAAAGATTCAGAAGAGCAGTTTGTAAACTGTGATGTTTTGGACATAATCATTATTATTAATTATAATCTGCTTGTTTTTATGGGAGACTTATGATAAAAAAGGATAAATAAGATTTTTGTTTGGGGTCATACTTTTGTCCGTATCTCAGAACAAAAATTTTAAGAAAGCCCATGGATAGAGGGCTATAGGGGCCAAGAATATACTTTTTGTATTTTAAAAATTAGTTCCATTACGGGGTAAAGGGGAAAGAGCATTGAATTGGGTACCCAGCACACCTGAGTTCCAGTCCCAACTCTGCTACCAACTCCTATGGCAACTCTGTTAAGACTCTGTCTCCCTCTGAACTTTACTTTTCTTATTTCTAAAAAATATTGAGAAGAATGACAAAAAGACTTCACTTCTTATGCAACCATGGCCTTTTAGCTCTTGCTTGAACAGGATTTTGAGGCTGTGTCCAGATGCCCAGGAGGACAGTGCCCTGATCACTGAGGGATGCCTGCCCAGAGTGCCCTGGGGGAAGATGGCTGCATCTCAGTCCATTTTCCATCACCAGTCTACTCCTGGTTTAGGTTGTTACTTAAAGGGATAGGATCTCAAGACAACACACTACTGAATCAGGATTTCATGTTTTTGGAGAGGAAAAGCAAAGTGGAAAATCCACCTGTAGATAGCCTGACGTTAGTGTCAATTTCCAGGTAGTCACCACTTACTTATGTCTGAGGATGCCAAACACCTCTAATACAGGTGGGATAATACCAGAAAATGCAGAGTATGTTCTTGGAGAAGTCAATCATGGTGGCCAAACATGGTGATCATGGATCGAGTCCATATTTCACTCCTCAAGAAAATTGTCTTGAGGAGTAAAATAATTCTATAAATGTGTATTCTCTTTCAAGCCCCAGAGACAAGATGTTGTCATCAGTAGCCACATGAGAAAGAGAAAGCACTTAAGCGTATCGTGCCTTGAAACAGACTGTGCTTTCATTCAAACTCTCTGGGCTAGAAGGGTTCTTGGAGATTAGTAAACCTCCCTTCATTAAGCATGTGGGGAAACTGAGGCCCAGGGACATAAATTAGTGGCAGGGCTAGGATTCAAATCCAGAATGGGTGATACTTAATCCAAAGTTAAGTTCCTACAGGTCCAGAGCTAATCTTGCCCTAAAGAAGCTCTAATGCATTGACAAGCACCCACCCCTACCTCTCCCTGCCCAGGTGAGATGGCCATTACCTTGTTTAAACTGCCATCTATAGACACAGTACAAGAGGAAGCCTAGGACCAAGGAGACAACAACAATGGCCACAGCTAAGATGATCCAGAAATAATTCCTCCACCAACTCATTGCACTGGAATCCTAAAGAATGGAAACAGAAAAATGAGGTATGAATGAAACATATCTGGAGTGGTGATAGGGCCTATTATCTATAATGTTGTGTAGAGATATGGGCATCTGCTTATGAATCAATCAGGCTCCGTCCGGTTCATAGTCAAACCCTATGGATTAGCAGCTAGGGGACCTCAGGCAAGTCGCTGAACTTTCTCTGAGCCTCAATGTCTCCATCTGTAAGGTGGAAATGACACTGTCTACAAGTTCACAGGCGTTTGGAAGGATTAGAGATAAGATATGTAAGGGCCAGGGATTTAGCTCAGTGGTTCCACCGCCTGCCTCAAGTTCGATCCCTTGTACCAAAACAAAAAAAAAATTCAAGTCTAGATATGTGTATATATATATAGCTCAGTGTGAAGGCCCTGGGTTCAATCTCCAGTAACACACACATGCACACACACACATGCACGAACACACACCCACGTCCCAAGTTCCCCACATTCTAAGACCAGAGAAACTGCCTTTCTGCCACCTCCTTCTCCATGGGCTGCTGAGAGAGGCCTTTTCCAGAGGACTGAGGAGAGCATGTCTTTTTGGGAGAGTGAAGTTGAGAAGAGGGAGCCCAAGAGAAACCCATTCCATTTCCAGTTAGTTACCCTTTAGGACACTTGCTAGTTGAAGGGCTAAGGTGCTTCCAGGAAGGGAAGAGGAGCTCTGGGGAGAGATGGTAGGGAGTGCTGGGAATGGGAGGTGGGTAATGGACACATGATCAGGCTCAAACCTGGGAAAGGAGTAAAAGCTGGAGCCTATTCTTGCCATAGCCCTGGAGTTGGGGGCACAAAGTAGGTAAGATTGTGGAATGTGGGGCTGCTGTGCGCTACTCCAGCATGGGACAAAGAAGTGCTTTCTTGAGAGGATGCTGAGAATCAGTGGAAGGATGTAGTCACATCTCTCAGGGCAACCACAAGAGACTTCTCAAGGGCCAGGGGCTGATGCCTTCATCAATAAGCTGGCTAGAAGACCTCATGCCACCACCACAAACTAGATCAACAGCAATGATGGGAGACTTTCCACAGAAAATTTTTTGTCCTCCTTTTTCCTCTCATTCTGACACTGGAGAAATGAGTGTAGGGGACAAGATGTTAAGAGAGCGGAAAAGCCTCCATCCCTCCTTGTACTCCTCTCTCTAGGACAATGGGGAGAACTCCGCATTCAATATAAGGTTGAAGTTTCATAATGGGCATAGCTAAAATTTAAAAACTAAAATGAATCTGCTTGATAATCAAAAGTAACTAAGTTTTTTTGAAGTTGGACTGCAATGTCTTTGGGGAAGGCCATCCTCTGTGGCAACAAGAGGGCGCCCAGGCAGCATCAGTTGTCAGAATCAAACTATGGATTTCCTAGGGGTGCTCTAATGATGCAATGATGTAAAGCAATACAAGTTTATCATCCAAGTTGGGCATGATGCACATGTCTGTAGTTTCAGCTACCTGGGAGGCTGAGGCAGGAGGCTCACTTGGACCCAGGAGTTTGAAATCAGCCTGAGCAACATAGAAAGACCCTATCTCTTTAAAATATATCATTTTATAGTTCTGGATGTTAGAAGTCCATGTAACTCTTACCTATAAGGCTAAAATTAAAGTTTTGGCAAGACTGTATCCCTTCTGGATGCGCCATGGGAGAATCAATTTCCTTGTCTTTGAGGGTTCTATAGGCTCATCACCTTTTGGCCATCTTCCTCCCTCCCCCCAGGAATTGAATTCAGGACCTTGCGCTTGTGAGGCAGGTTCAGCACCACTGAGCTAAATCCCCGACCCCTTTCCCTCATCTTTAAGCCAGCAGTGCTGAGTCTCTGTTCCTTTATAGTCACATCTCCCCAGTTCTCCTCTACTGCCTCCTTCCCCTGGATGAGGCACTTGGCCCACTCCAGAAATCAAGAATAACTTCCCCATTTCCAATGTGGCTGATTAGCAAACTTAATTCCCCTTTACCATGAAATCTGGCACAGTCACAGGTCATGGGGATTAAGATATGGACATCTTAAGAAGGAAGGGGTCATGACACAAATGAGTTCATGCTCAGACCTCAGTGAGATGACATTCTTTGGTTAAAATATTGGATTGGGTTAAGCTATTCCATTTAAACATTTTATTTTTTGTTATTTTAACAATATCTCAAGAAGGTGAGGGGGAGAAAGTGAGTGATGGTTCTGCTTTCTATGACCAGAAGTCCCCCACATGGTGCCAGATATTGCAGACCCAGCCATGAAGCAGCAGAGTCCTGCTACAAGGCAGACATGGTGGAGTGGCAGCAGCTATCAAATGGAAAACCATTTTGTTTTCATGGAGGTAGAGGAGATAGAAGAATTCTCAAGGTATGAATTAGATACATATCCTGGGAGCTGAAGCAAAGGCCCAAGACCCAATTTAGATCAGATCATTGGAACCTGATGTTCAACTAGGGCTGGTCCACTCTCTGAATGATAGATCAGTGCAAGTCCCAGGCCACGGGAAGGCACTGAGTCTGTAGGTATAGGTGTTGAAGTCCCAGGTGCTGGGAGGAGGTCAGGAAGCTGTCAGGGCCTGACAGACTTGGGGGCTAAGTACTTGAGGACTGTCAGAAACTGCTATCCCTAGCCAGGTATGGTGGTATGTGCCCTGTAATCCTAGCATTTTGGGAGACTGAGGCAGGAGGATTGCAAGTTTGAGCCCAGCCTGGGCATTTTAGTGAGACTCCAATCTAACAACAACAACAAAAAAATTAATTAATTAAGGGGTTAGTGGTGTTGGTGCTGGGGATGTCTCTCCGTGTGAAGGCCCTGGGTTCAATCCCCAGTATTGCCAAAAGGGGGGAGGTGTTTCCTGTGCTTGCATATTAGAATTACCTAGGGAACTTTAAAAATTGCTTGCACATACATAACATCAAAGATTCTGATGTGATTCACCTGAGGTAGGGCCTGGCCATTGGATTTTATTTGTTTTTATAAAGCCCTCCAGATAATCCCAGCCTGAGGCCAAGGTTGAGAACCACAGGCATACATGTCATTGCTTAATGTTTCATTGTAACTTCCTAAGGCAAGGTGTCCAGAGCTGGAGTAGGCTTCATCCCTCTCTTGGATACCAAAATCTGTGGGTGCTCAAGTCCCTTATATGAAGTGTAGTATTTGCATATAACCTACACACATCTACCCATATATTGTACTTTATTTTTTATTTTTATTT